TTATTCATTCAAATTCTTTCATACCATTCACCTCCCTCCCTTCCTTTTCAACCTTTGTTTACTATTTTTCCAATGAATTTGTTCTTCTATGATGTGTGCACAAAGTAAATCTCCTGTAGAAGTAAAGCCCTTGTTATTCTAAAAGTGCAAATTTCGTGCGGTTTCCCGAAAAAATCCAGAAAAGATGCTCAATGGCTTTTTTTTCTTGAAATCCCTACTCTATGCTCAACTCAACGTGCATAGAAACAGCTGTTTCATAAAACTTCTGCAAACCAACATAAACAAAACGCTATCGCTCTAAGAATAACTTGACACAAATGAGAATAGATTAGTTGTTTTTATAACCTTTTTATTTTTCCAAAGAATAAGTCAGGAATCACGACGGGATACTCGAAGGTTTTCACTGCTGATTCTTTTGATATAAGATGAAATTAAATGTGCAAAAAATATTGAAAATTGCGTAATTGTGTCTCATTCTGAGTTATAATAATTTAAAAATACCTATAGTAGTATAAAGCTGTCCAGCGTAGAACATTGAACCAAGCCACGTCCATGGCGTATCTTCAGTTCGTTCATTTATCACTTCAGTTAGGTTTAATTGTTCCAAGAACCAGACCAGCGCCTCTTTTGCATGTTTTAACTGAAAAAAAAATAACCTCAAAATTTCTTCTGCCAATTCCCCTTTTCTCACAGTTGGCAGAGATCTCTGCAGCGCTAGAGAAACATTCATCCGAGGCGAGGTGTAAAACTCATAACTCAAATTCTCTCCAGTCTAACAAACACATGTGTACATGTGGCTGGCCAATTTACCTAGGCTTTCGGAGCTGTAAAATTACCTAACCAACCTGATATTCCTTATCCGAGTCTCGTAGTGCTGGGTCATGACATCGTACCTCAAGCATTCTTTCCAAAACCTGAAATTTTGCAAGAGCTAGATGCTCATATTTCAAGCAGGTGTGAGTTACAATAAGTATAATAGCGCCTATAAATTTATTTAAAGGATATGATATAATTAATTTGTAGTCTTCCAAGAAAACGAGTATGACACCTGT